AAAATAGGAGCCCACAGACTGGGAAAATTTTTTTTTTTTTGCAACAGCATATCAGACAAGGAACTAATCTCTACAATATATAGGAAACTACAACACTTCTATAAGAAAGACAAATAAATGGGCACAGCACATGAACAGATACATCACCAAGTAAGACATCTAGGCAGCCAACAAACATATGAAGAAATGTTCATGATCACGAGCCATTAAAGAGATGAAAATCAGAACAACAATGAGCTATCATCTCCCACCAGCAGCAACAGTGAAGTTGAAAACAGCAGAGGACAACAAATGCTGGTGAAGAGACACTGAGACCCTCCTACATTGCTGTTGGGACTGGAAAACAGTTCAACTACTTTGGGAAAATGGTATGGCGATTTCTCAGAAAGTTGGAAATAGAAACACATTATGATCCAGCAATCCCTCTACTTGGTATATATTCACAAGAAATGTGAGCCAGAATGTGAGTAAATATATGCACACCAATGTTCATCGTAACACTATTCACAATAGCAAAAACCTGGAGACTACCCAAGTGCCCATTGATGGAAGAATGGATAAACAAATTTTGTAAACAATTGGAAACTATACTACCTTGAAGAATAACGATGACGTTGCAAAATACCTCATAACATGGATGAACCTTGAAAACATAATGCTGAGTGAAATTAGTCAGGCACAAAAGGACAAATATTACATAAAACCAATATTATAAAAACTTAAGAAAAGATTTCCATACAAAAAGAATAAAACTTCGATGGTTGTCAGGAATGGGAGGGAGGGGACAGTAACTTACAGGTTAAGGGATAGATGCATAATGGATCAGATGATGGGGAAGGCAATATAAAGGGGGAGATAATGCACAAGAAGAGGGAGGGCAATGTACAAGAAGAGGAAGGAACAGATGAATGGGAACGATAGGGGAAGACATATGGAAGTATATATGGGCTAAATGGGATAGAGATAGATTGTGATGTATGCACAGCACAGTGCTTTATGATCTAGGGATCGAGACACAGTCTGAATGCGTAAAGGAAGAGAAATAATGTTAAGGTGTTTGACTGGTCTATGGATACTGGTTTCCCCTGCCTACTATTGGAATATAGACATTTAAGTGGTATAGAAAGGAATATTGGGAAATACGATTACAGAAAGCTTATAAGCCCACCTTCAGTTCATAATTGACTGGATTATCTAAAAGGGTACTAGAATGTAGGCTTCTTGTTAGTCTTTATGGAATATTGAACCTTAGGTGAAATCCTGAGCTCCACTCTGAAACTTCAGAGGTGGGACATTTCCACCTGAAGAGACATGCAGACCAACCTAGAATGTCTAGAGGAACAGCAGATGAAGGTACTTCCTGAAAGAAAGATCAGTAAGGGGGGTAGAATAGTGGTGGGGAGGGGTGGGAAGCAGACTGTTTGGCTGTGACAATATCAAGCAAGCTGTTTGCCTTGGAGACATTAAGGCAAGAAAAGCCAGCCCAACAGGGTAAACCTCTTTCAAAACCAGAAAGATATTTAGTTGTGCTTTATTGACTATGCAAAGAGATTCAACTTTGTAAATCATAACAAACTATTCATAACATTGAGAATAATAGGAATTCTAGAACGTTTCATTGTGCTCATAAGGAACCTGTACACTGACAAAGAGGCAGTTGTTAGAACAGAACAAGGGAATACTGAATGGTTTAAAATCAGGAAAAGTGTGCATCAGGGTTGTATCCCTTCACCATATTTATTCAATTTGTATGCTGAAGCAAATAATCTAATAAATTGGATTAAAGGAAGAAGAATGTAGCATCAGGACTGGAGGAAGACTTATTAACAGCCTGCAATATGCAGGTGATACAGCCTTGTTGCTAGAAGCAAAGAACTTTAAATATTTACTGATAAAAATCAAAGATCACAACCTTCAGTAAGGATTGCACCTCAGTGTAAAAAAGAAAATTATCAACTTTGAACCTAAAAATAACATCATGATAAATGGAGAAAAGTTTGAAGTTGTCAAAGACTTCATTTTGTTTTGAATTCACAATTAACACTCATGGAAGCACAGTCAAGAAATCAAACTTATTGCATTAGGCAAATTTGCTGCAAAAGATCTCTTAAAGGTGTTAAAAAGCAAAGAGATCAGTTTGAGTAGTAAGGTAGGCCTGACTCAAGCCATGGTATTTTCAATCACTTCATATGCATATGAAAGTTGGACAATGAATAAGGAAAGCTGATGCATTTCAATTATGGTGGTGAAGAATAATGAAAATACCATAGACTGCCAGAAATCTCTCTTGGAGGAAGTACAGCCAGAGTATTACTAAGAAGCGAGGATGGTGAGACTTCATCACTTATACTTTGGACATGTGGTCAGGTGGGGCCAGTCCCTGGAGAACGATATCATGCTTGGTAAAGTGGAGAATCAACAAAAAAGAGGAAGACCCCCAATGAATTGGAGTGACACAGTGGCAGCAACAATGGGGTCAAATATAACAACCATTGTGAAGGTGGTGCAGGACCAGGCAGTGTTTTGTTTTGTTGTGCAGAGGGCTGCTCAATGAAACCGACTCAATGGCACCGAACTTAAGAGTTAATATAATACACTGACAGCAGGTATATCTTTAGAAATCCATGATTTTGGTACTGTAGAAACATTCAGGATTTCTTACCTCAGTAGGTATCTCAGTTAACAACAGTTAACAGTTTTAAAGTAATGGTTACGAATTGGGCTGCTAATCTCAAGGTCAGCAGTTTGAAACTACCAGCGGTTCCACGGGAGAAAGATGAGGCTTTCTGCTTCCACAAGATTTACAGCCAGCCTCATAAACCCTGTACAGGGTCGCTATGGGTCAGAATTGACTCGACAGCACTTAACAACAACAAAAATGCTTCCTAAGAAGGTGGCTATCATAAAGTCACACTGAAATGGATAACATGAAGGTGAAAGGACATGCCCTAGCTGATCATGATGACAGAAAGCCTTCATTCAGTTCCTTCCAGGGTCAAATCTTTGGAGAGATTCATAAAGGCTATTTTGGAATGCCAAAATTTGGCTCCAAAGTCTGAAAAATAATATGTAAGGAAAAAATATGGCTATAAATTACTAAGTAATCATTTGCCTTTCAGGATGGACACTTGGTGGCACCAGAGGGCCTCAATGAAACTAAAAATTTCACACAAAACTGCCCATCAGAGAAAGCAATTAAACACAATACTCAATTAGCATAGGAGGGGAATTTTTTACTATGATTGCTGAGGATATCTCCAGTGTGCCTCGGATTTATGACCAGGACAATACAATCCTGGTAAAACTGTTATTCTCAGAAACCCAAGCCTCAGGATCACTTTGAACTTCAAATAGACTTCCTAATATTTTCCCTGCTTTGGGATCTGAATGTGTTCTCAGCATTCTTCTCAGGATAGACTGAAACTTTGTCTTGCCAGAGAGCTACAGCTCTGAAAGTAGAAAAAAATGTTTACTTGATTTTGTGTCATCAACCTAAGGAATTCCAGTAACAGCTTTCATTTTACTGGGACTATTAACAGAGAATTTTGCAAAATCTCAATTACTTATTGCCCTAATCATTTTCAATATTGAGAGCAAGTAGAGAGGACCAATGGTATATTAAATTTGACACACTTGAACTTCCATAGCCAAGATTATGAACTCCACACTTTCCTACAGTCATCAGTTTTCACTATATAAAAGTGTTAGAGGTTTCCCTACTAACTTAGCTATCTATATCTCTTCTGATTCTAAACATTTTCTTACTCCACACAAACCTGGCAAAGTACTCCCAGGGTCTGATACAATAAGCTTCTTAGTTTCATTGAAAACTAGTATAAGTTGTTTTTCCTTTATATGACCTAAAACGCAGAGATTGCATCTTCTAAAAATGATCCCAGAAAGAAAATAAAATGCCCTGGAAACCATGTTGGAAATAATCCTACCAGGTACTTTTGAGTACTACCACAGTAGTTAAACTCCAAGAAATCAATCTTTGGATTCACGTCTCCTAGCTGAACAGGCAGATAGTTTTCACTCTGTCATACCTAGACTGCCATCCCATCAGGAAATTATCTCAAGAAAATTTTAACTTAACTTTATACACACTTGTAGCATTTGGGATTCAAGAACACAGAGAATAAAAATTCTTCCTGGCCTTTTGATAGTGTTAACACTGAAGATAACTCTGAAAACTACAATGAACCAGTTCACATCTGAGAAATATTCTGTGTGTTACAGGGGAATGAGGATATTTTTTAAGACGCAAAGCATCAGAGCTAACTTTTCCATGTCTGTTGATGTGTATGTACATAACCAAGTAGCTTAAGGCAGATTTTTTTAAGGTAGATCATTGATTGGGATAAAGCAAATTTTGTGATAATAGTTTAGGATAACAACATGAAAATCTTGAAGCAGGTTTTAAGAGTAAACTGTTGTTTTCTTTGGATAATGTAATTAATTCCCTAATATGTTTAGGCAATTGAACATTTTACTTTTCAATAAGGGTTAGAAGATGTTTCTAAATAAATGCTAAAAATGATGATCTAAAGAGGAAAAAAGTACTGACCTTTTGCCACTTAAGGTCTTGTATCTCCACAATAACTTTACCAATTTGCTCTTCATATTGAGTTTCTGCTTCCTAGTTAAAAATTAAAGAAAAATTATATGAAAATTCAGACTTTGAGACTTACAGTTTCAGTTCTTTCTCACTGTTGGCTGCTGTCAAGTCAATTCAGACTCCTGGTGACCCCGTGTGTGCAGAGTTAACTGCTCCATAGGGTTTCCAAGACTGTGACCTTTCAAAAGCAAATTGCTAGACTTGTCTTCTAGGGCACTTGTGGGTGGGTTCAAACCATCAACCTGGATAGCAGTCAAGTGTTTAATTGGTACACTGCCCAGGGACTTCACCAGCTCTTTCTAGAGAAGTTTAAAGAGCATCCCTCTACCATTACAAGGAAAAACAAAAAGGTAGACAAAATTAGAATGACACATTAATAACTTTCTTTGAACCCATTTGAGAAATGAGGTCACAGATCAAACAACTTTAAATCTGAATTGAAACAGGTATCTTCGGGGAGAAACAACACCCAAGTATTTGCTTGCTTACCTGATGAATACGCCACTGAGTGCCATGTGTCAGCAAGATTCATCTAGAAATCCTTAATAAACTGCTAAATGCATAGTGTGGGATAGAGTAAAAATAAGAAGCCCCTGGAGGCTTCAGGCATAGTGAGGTTTGTACCCTCCCTCCACTAGGCTTTTCTTCTAGGAAACCAGCCACATGCCTACAAGGAAGATCAGGAAGAATCCTGAGACTTTTACCCCATTATTACTGGCTAAGGATGGGAAAAGCAACTGCAGACTATCTTCCTTTTTCTCCTCCAGAATAAAAGTTTTAATCTTCAGGGGGAAAGGCAACAAAAATCATAGCTGAGGACACTAGTGCTGCAGCTGGGAAAAGGTATCAACAGCTACTATTAGACCTCTACCCAGACCAGGCTTACTGGTCAAATAGAGACTCTTGGAACCATGAGACTATGGCTCTTAGTCACCCTTCAGGTCTGGAACTGAACTCACACCCATGGCTCAATTTTCAGTCAAGCAACAAAATTATAGAATAGTCAACCATCTGAGATGAAAAGGGCAGCATTTACCTAAGGGTTAAGAAAGAAAAAGGAAAGGAAATAAGAAACACAGGGAGGAAGTGAGGTAAGTGATGTTACATTGAGGGAATTGTAATCCTTGAGTTGAACAAAGTGTCCAATTTATTGAATGCAAAACTCATGATTTCCTCTGTAAACTTTCATTCAATTCACAATAACAAGGTTTTAAAATTTTTTTACCCTATTATTACTCAATGAAGTTGAAGTGTACACAGCTTGACAAAGGTAAACTACATCCCTAAAAAGTACACATCTGCATGAATCTACTACCACCAAGAAAGAAGAGCCAGGGATGGAGTATGTCCTTTGGATCTGAGGTCCCTGCACTGTGAAGTTCTTAGATACAGGAAAAGATTGTGCTAAGACACATACAGATCTCCAGGGAATGCTGGATTTGCAGATGCTGAAAGAAGACAAGGACATTTTCCCAGAGCAAATGCCTCCCAAACTTCTAGTCTCCCAAACTGTGAGAGAATAAATTCCTGTTTGCTAAGGCCATCCACTTGTGGTACTCCTGTTGCAGCAGTGCAGTGCTTGATAACTAAGAAAGAATTTGGTGTCAGGAGAGTGGAGAGCTGCTCTAGCAGATACCCAGAGTGTGGAAGTGGTTTTGGAGCTGGATGATGAGCAGAGACTGAAGGAGTACTAAGCTGCCTAGCAATGTAAGCCTAGATTGCCTGGAAGAGACTGTTGGAATTGTAGATGTCAAGGACGATTCTGATAGGACAATGGAAGGAAGTGAGAAGAACTGTAACACTGAAGATAGCACAGATGAAAAGAAGCAGCACCAGAGAAACTGCAGCAGCAGAACAAGGAGACCAACACAAGACAGCACAGAAGTCAACCCACTGAGCAAGAGAGTTGAGTGTGTTCATGAGGAAGTATCCTGGCACAGTGGGTGTTTCTGGGCACTTGTCAGTGAAGTGAGAAAGCTGATCACCTTCTGGCCAAGACTTACCAGTGGAAAGTGCAGTGCCTCTGAGCTAAAGAACTTTGCAACATTTGCTCAAGCAGAGCAATAGACCAGAATGACCTCTTCTAGAGATCAAGGAACCCAGGAAGCAAGCAGAGCTACCTCAGTCTCAAAAGGTAGGACCATGACCTCTGAGTTCTCAAAGAGTAAGTAGAACCATGACTTTTAGGGTTTTAAGGGTGGGGTCACATTTCTTAATGTTTCAAGGAGTCGGCTTCTTCACCAACTCAGTTCTAGAGTATGGGGCTGCCGATAAGATGGGGTCTCTTCTCAAAGCTGAGGAGGAAAAGCTGCTATGACTGAGGAGACAGAAGAACGGGGCTTTCTAATGCTGAGGGTGTGGGGTCATCACTCACATGGACTACCAGAATGGGGCTGTCCGAAGCCAAGGGAACAAAGTTGGCATTCCAGTGGGCCTGGAAGGCCTCTACCAAAAATCCTCTAACCATAACACCCAGAATCTGGAGGTTGTCTAAATAGTCTCAGGGAACAGAGCATTATTTTCAAGACTTGAGAACTAGTACAAATTGTTCTGCTGGGTTTTCAACTTGCTTAGTGCCAGTTATCCCCTCCATCCCTCTAACTGCTCTCATTTGTAATGGAAATGTCTACCTTATAGTCTGTGCTACCATTGAACTTTGCAAGCAGATTAACTTGTGTTACAGACTCACAGGTTGGAATTTGGACTTGGAAGACTTTGGGGATGATATGATGGGGTAAAAATGTTTTACAAATGACAAATACATGAATTGAACTGTGTCCCCACCCACCCCCGCCCCTACCCCCACCCCCAAAAAATGTGTCAGCTTGGCTGGCACATGAGGTGGTCTGATATGATAAACCAATAAGAGAATTAAGGGTGGAATGTGTTGTTATTGTTGGTAAGTGCTGTTGAGTCAGTTCTGACATAGCGACCCTATATAGGGTTTCTGAGGAGCAGCTGGTGGATTTGAATTGCTGACCTTGTGGTTTGCATGCTAGTGCTGATCCTACAGTGCTACCTATACCAGGAATCAAAGGGTGGAATACAATGCTCTTAATCCTACTACAATCCTGATGTAGGAGTGTAGTATGAAACTCCTTTTACCTTACAAGATATAAGAGGAGAGTGACATGAGCAGAGAGAAGCGACCTACTACCACTGAGAAAGAAGAACCAAGAGTGGAATGCATCCTTTAGATCTGGGGTCCCTGCTCTGTGAAGGACCTAGATCCAGGAAAAGATTGATGACAAGACACTTATAGATCGCCAAGGAATTCTGGGCCTAAAGATGCTGAAAGGAGACAAGGACCTTTTTCTAGAGCAGGTGTCCTGGATTCAGGCTTCTAACCTCTCCAACTGTGAGAGAATAACTTTGTTTGTTAAAGACAAAAAATAAAAAAAGGACCTGTTGGTAATTACTATGTTCTATATAATTTTGAAACAACAGCAAACACAACCAAAAATGCATGTAAAGACTCCTGTTGTGGCATTGCTGGTTAATGTGCTGGACTACAACGTTGGTTTTAACTGCTAGGTCAGAAGTTCAGGCTCACCACCTCTCCTTGGAAACCCTATATAGAGTATCTATGAGACTCAACAGCACTTAACAACAACAACAAATATAGGCCAGTGTTTTCTTTTTCACCATGCATATTCAATCTGTATGCTAAGCAAATAATCCAATAAAATAGATTATATGAAGAGGAACTTGGCATCAGGATTAGAGGAAGACTCATAACCAACCTGCAATATGCAGATGATACAGCATTGCTTGCTGAAAGTGAAGAGGCCTTAAAATACTTACTCATGAAGATCAAGACCACAGCCTTCAGTATAGGTTGCACCTCAATGTAAAGAAAACAAAAGTCCTCACCACGGAACCAATAAATAACATCATGACAAATGGAGAAAAGATTGAAGTTGTCAAAGACTTGATTTTATTGCAATCTACTATCAACACTCATGGAAGCAACAGACAAGAAATATAACGATGTATTGCATTGAGCAAATCTGCTGTACAAGACCTCTTTAACGTGTTCAAGAGCAAAGATGTCAGTCTGAGGACTAAAGTGCACCTGAAGCAAGCCAATGCATTTTCAATAGCCTCATATTCATGTGAAAGTTGGACAATGAATAAGGAAGACTATAGAAGAATGGATGCATTTGAGTTACGGTGTTAGAGAAGAAGATTAGAATTACCACTGACTGCAAGAAGAACAAACAAATCTGCATTGGAAGAAGGACAGCCAGAATGCTCCTTAGAAGTCAGGATGGTGAGACTTCATTTCTCATACTTCAGACATATTATCAGCAGGGACCAGTCCCTGGAGGATGACATCATGCTTTGTAAAGTGGAAGGTCAGCAAAAAGAGGAAGACCATCAATGAGATGGACTGGCACAGTGGCAGCAGCAATGGGTTCAAGCGTAACAATGATTGTGAGAATGGCGCAGGACCTTGCAGTGTTTTGTTCTGTTGTACATAGAGTCACTATGAGTCATACTGACTGAACAGCACCTAACAACAACACGGACAAATACATATCTGTCTGTGTTGTTGTTATTAAGTGCTGTCAAGTCAGTTCCAACTCATATCGACACTGTATCGGGTTTCCAAGGAGCAGCTGGTGTGTTTTAATTGTCAGCCTTGAGGTTAGCAGTCCAGTGCTTATCCTACAGTGCCACTCCAAGATTCCATATGCATATATATGTGAGTGTAAATATAGATATATACATATATGTATGTATATTTAACCAAAAACCTCATGGGACTGAATTTCTAGGTTTGAAAGATTAAGACCATAGTCTCATGGGAAATCTTGTTCAATTGTTGTTGTTGATAGGTGCCATCGAGTCGGAACCGACTCATAGCGACCATATGCACAGCAGAACAAAACAGTATCCGATCCTGGGCCAACTTCACTACTGTTGCCACACTTGAGTCCATCGATGTCGCCAACTGGCCAATCCATCTCGCTGGGTGTCTTCCTCTTTTTCTCTGACCCTCCATCTTACCAAACATG